AAAGGTAAGAAGATTGGGAGGAAGAAGGAAAAAAGGGTAAAGAAGATTGGGAGGAAGAAGGAAAAAGGGTAAAGAAGATTGGGAGGAAGAAGGAAAAAGGGTAAAGAAGATTGGGAGGAAGAAGGAAAAAGGGTAAAGAAGATTGGGAGGAAGAAGGAAAAAGGGTAAAGAGATTGGGAGGAAGAAGGAAAAAGGGTAAAGAAGATGGGAGGAAGAAGAAAAAGGGTAAAGAATATGGGAGGAAGAAGGAAGAAGGGTAAAGAAGATTGGAAGGAAGAAGGAAAAAGGGTAAAGAAGATTGGGAGGAAGAAGGGTACAGAAGATTGGAAGGAAGAAGGGGGGCGGAGCGAGGGAGTATGAGAGGGGCATGGTAGTATGGCAAAGGGTATGGGAGCTGGAAGACAGGGGCACTGGTGAGACAGGGGCACTGGTGAGACAGGGGCACTGGTGAGACAGGGGCACTGGTGAGACAGGGGCACTGGTGAGACAGGGGCACTGGTGAGACAGGGGCACTGGTGAGACAGGGGCACTGGTGAGACAGGGGCACTGGTGAGACAGGTGGTGGTGAGATGGTGCTCTGGTGGTGAGATGGTGCTCTGGTGGTGAGATGGTGCTCTGGTGGTGAGATGGTGCTGGTGGTGAGATGGTGCTCTGGTGGTGAGATGGTGCTCTGGTGGTGAGATGGTGCTCTGGTGGTGAGATGGTGCTCTGGTGGTGAGATGGTGCTCTGGTGGTGAGATGGTGCTGGTGGTGAGATGGTGCTCTGGTGGTGAGATGGTGCTCTGGTGGTGAGATGGTGCTCTGGTGGTGAGATGGTGCTCTGGTGGTGAGATGGTGCTCTGGTGGTGAGATGGTGCTCTGGTGGTGAGATGGTGCTCTGGTGGTGAGATGGTGCTCTGGTGGTGAGATGGTGCTCTGGTGGTGAGATGGTGCTCTGGTGGTGAGATGGTGCTCTGCTGGTGAGATGGTGCTCTGGTGGTGAGATGGTGCTCTGGTGGTGAGATGGTGCTCTGCTGGTGAGATGGTGCTCTGCTGGTGAGATGGTGCTCTGGTGGTGAGATGGTGCTCTGGTGGTGAGATGGTGCTCGGTGGTGAGATGGTGCTCTGGTGGTGAGATGGTGCTCTGGTGGTGAGATGGTGCTCTGGTGGTGAGATGGTGCTCCTGGTGGTGAGATGGTGCTCTGGTGGTGAGATGTGCTTGGTGGTGAGATGGTGCTCTGGTGGGTGAGATGGTGCTCTGGTGGTGAGATGGTGCTCTGGTGGTGAGATGGTCAGCTCTGGTGGTGAGATGGTGCTCTGGTGTGAGATGGTGCTCTGGTGGTGAGATGGGGCTCTGGTGGTGAGATGGTGCTCTGGTGGTGAGATGGTGCTCTGTGGTGAGATGGTTGCTTCTGGTGGTGAGATGGTGCTCTGGTGGTGAGATGGTGCTTGGTGGTGAGATGGTGCTCTGGTGGTGAGTATGGTGCTCTGGTGGTGAGATGGTGCTCTGGTGGTGAGATGGTTTGCTCTTGGGGTGAGATGGTGCTCTGGTGGTGAGATGGTGCTCTGGTGGTGAGATGGTCCTCTGGTGGTGAGATGGTGCTCTGGTGGTGAGATGGTGCTGCTGTGAGATGGGCTCTGGGGGAGAGGTGCTCTGGTGGTGAGATGGTGCTCTGGTGTGAGATGGTGCTCTGGTGGTGAGAGGTGCTCTGCTGGTGAGATTGTGCTCTGCTGGGTGAGATGGGCTCTGCTGGTGAGATGGTGCTCTGTGGTGAAAGAGGTGCTTGGTGGTGAGATGGTGCTCTGGTGGTGGATGTGCTCTGGTGGTGAGATGGTGCTCTGGTGGTGAGATGGTGCTCTGGTGGTGAGATGGGCTCTGCTGGTGAGATGGTGCTCTGGTGGTGAAGATGGGGCTCTGGTGGTGAGAGGTGCTCTGCTGGTGAGATGGTGCTCGCTGGTGAGATGGTGCCTGGTGGTGAGATGGTGCTCTGGTGGTGAGATGGTGCTCTGGTGGTGAGATGTGCTCTGGTGGTGAGATGGTGCTTGGTGGTGAGATGGTGCTCTGGTGGTGAGATGGTGCTCTGGTGGTGAGATGGTGCTCTGGTGGTGAGATGGTGCTCTGGTGGTGATATGGTGCTGCTCTGGTGGTGCAGGTCATGGTGCTCTGGTGGTGGTGAGATGGTGCTCTGGTGGTGAGATGGTGCTCTGGTGGTGAGATGGTGCTCTGGTGGTGAGATGGTGCTCTGGTGGTGAGGATGGTGCTCTGGTGGTGAGATGGTGCTTCTGGTGGTGAGATGGTGCTCTTGGTGGTGAGATGGTGCTCTGGTGGTGAGATGGTGCTCTGGTGGTGAGATGGTGCTCTGGTGGTGAGATGGTTGCTCTGGTGGTGAGATGGTGCTCTGGTGGTGAGATGGTGCTCTGGTGGTGAGATGGTGCTCTGGTGGTGAGATGGTGCTCTGGTGGTGAGATGGTGCTCTGGTGGTGAGATGGTTGCTCTGGTGGTGAGATGGTGCTCTGGTGGTGAGATGGTGCTCTGGTGGTGAGATGGTGCTCTGGTGGTGAGATGGTGCTCTGGTGGTGAGATGGTGCTCTGGTGGTGAGATGGTGCTCTGGTGGTGAGATGGTGCTCTGGTGGTGAGATGGTGCTCTGCTGGTGAGATGGTGCTCTGGTGGTGAGATGGTGCTCTGGTGGTGAGATGGTGCTCTGGTGAGATTGTGCTCTGCTGGTGAGATGGTGCTCTGCTGGTGAGATGGTGCTCTGCTGGTGAGATGGTGCTCTGCTGGTGAGATGGTGCTCTGCTGGTGAGATGGTGCTCTGCTGGTGAGATGGTGCTCTGGTGGTGAGATGGTGCTCTGGTGGTGAGATGGTGCTCTGGTGGTGAGATGGTGCTCTGGTGGTGAGATGGTGCTCTGGTGGTGAGATGGTGCTCTGGTGGTGAGATGGTTCTCTGGTGGTGAGATGGTGCTCTGCTGGTGAGATGGTGCTCTGGTGGTGAGATGGTGCTCTGGCGGTGAGATGGTGCTCTGCTGGTGAGATGGTGCTCTGGTGGTGAGATGGTGCTCTGGTGGTGAGATGGTGCTCTGCTGGTGAGATGGTGCTCTGCTGGTGAGATGGTGCTCTGCTGGTGAGATGGTGCTCTGTGGTGAGATGGTGCTCTGGATGTTGGTGAGATGGTGCTCTGGTGGTGAGATGGTGCTCTGGTGGTGAGATGGTGCTCTGGTGGTGAGATGGTGCTCTGCTGGTGAGATGGTGCTCTGCTGGTGAGATGGTGCTCTGGTGGTGAGATGGTGCTCTGCTGGTGAGATGGTGCTCTGGTGGTGAGATGGTGCTCTGGTGGTGAGATGGTGCTCTGGTGGTGAGATGGTGCTCTGGTGGTGAGATGGTGCTCTGGTGGTGAGATGGTGCTCTGCTGGTGAGCAGCAGAATTCTAGTTCCGGGCATCCCACCTGCAGCACGAGGATGGGCATCCCACCTGCAGCACGAGGATGGTCATCCCACCTGCAGCACGAGGATGGTCATTTCCATGTAGAGCCCTGCGAGCGCAGACTGCCTCAGCTGCTGCGTTGCCTGCCCCAACCGCCTCAGCCGCAGCAGCTTCAGCAGCCGCAACGCCTGGCTGGCGAAGAGGGGGGGAGACGGGGACGAGTGGGGGGAGGGGACAGGGAAGGGAGCGTAGAAGGAGTAGGAAGAGGGAAAAAGGGCGGGGGGACGAGTAGGAGGTGAGTGGGTGGGAGGGACGGGCAGAGCATGGGGCATGCAGAAGGAGAGGGATGGAGGTGTGACAAGGGCGGTACGACATTAAAAGGGGCGGTGGAAAGGTAAGATGGGAGGGGACGAGACGGGATGGGAGGGGGCGGAGGGTGGACAAGGGGAGGGGAGAGTGGGGGAGACAGAGGGAGGGGAGCGAGGGGGCAGGGTGGGGACTGACGGCGGAGAGCCAGAAGCCGATGCTGGACTGGGCGAGGGCGGAGATGATGAGGTCGATGGGCAGCGAGGACAGCACGTCCACCACAAACCACGTGCGCAGGTAGTGCCACACTATGCGCCTCTGCCATGCCACGCCACCATGAGGGGAAGGGAATGGGGGGGGAGGAGGGGAAGGAGTTGGGCCGTGGGGATAGGGAGGCAACGTGTGGAAGGGATGTGCATGGATGTTGCAGCGCAGCTGGTGGCAGATGATGGGGTGAGGTGGCATGAGGTGGTATGAGGTGGTATGAGGTGGTATGATGTGGTATGAGGTGGTATGAGGTGGTATGAGGTGGTATGCGGTGGTATGCGATGGTATGAGGTGTCAGGGCGGGTGTGGCTTGCCTGGTCCATGACGATCTGCTGTGGCAGCAGCATCTTGACCCCGCCCTCCCCCATCACGTGCTTCTCCCTCGTCAGGTACCTGTGAGCCCCCATCCACCCATGGTACCACCGATGAAGGGAGGGGAGGGCAACGGTAGAGCGAGGGGAGGCCGAGGGGAGGGCAACGGGGGGCAAGGGGAGGGCGAGGGGAGGGCGAAGGGGGCAAAGGGGAGGGCGAGAGGGAGCGGAAGGAGGATGTGGATGGCATGAGTGCAGGGGTTGATGGATGGAAGAATGAGGGTCGATGTGTGGGGTTGGAGGGGGAGGAGGGTACTGGGTAGGAGAGTCGTCAAGTGTGGAAGTGACGGGGTGCAAGGATGCACCAACCTGCTCTCACCCTCAACTGCTCTCCACGCCCCCATTTGCTCTCCACGTTCCCGCCCCCTTTCCACGCCCATAGCATGCCTCATAAGAACCCCCACCACTTGCTGTTCCTCCCCAATGGGCCACCCGGGTGCACCCCCCCCCCCTCGCCCCATGGTGCGCGTGGTGTGATGTGGTGTGGTGTGGGGGTGACCCACCCGGTTTGAAGCCGAGGAGCACGTCGGCGAGGTAGACGAGGGAGAGGCACGAGTCGAGGAAGAGCCATGCGCCCGTGGCCCTCAGGTCGAACGCCACCATGTACAGCACCTCCCACTGCCATGCCGCCACACATGCATGGCGCATGGCATGGGCATGGGCATGGGCATGGGCATGAGCATGGGCGTGGGCATGGGCATGGGCGTGGGCATGGGCATGGGCATGGGCGTGGGCATGGGCATGGGCATGGGCGTGGGCATGGGCATGGGCATGGGCGTGGGCATGGGCATGGGCGTGGGCATGGGCATGGGCATGGGCGTGGGCATGGGCATGGGCATGGGTGGGCATGGCAGTGGGATGGTGTGGCAGGCGAAGGAGGCTGGTTTGGCACACAAGCACCACATGTGAAGGAGCCGTGTGTTGGCCGCACAGGGGAGCGCACGGGGAGCAAACAAGCAATGCGGGGCACGGGCAGCAGCGGGAGGGGCTGACTCACGAGGTTGTAGGCGATGCAGGCGCCCACTATGAGGTTCACATCACGCCGGAAGCGCGAGTACGGGTGCACGATGGGGATGCGCACGCGCATTGCCGCCGCCAGCGCCGCCTTGAACGCCACCACACACGGCCCTCCGCGCCACCACCGCCGCGCACCCATCTGCTCCGCGTCGGGCGGCTCGCTCTCGCCGGAGCGCCCTGGTCTGAGCTGCATGGGCACGTTCATATACTCCTCTAGCGCCACCCGCGCCGCCCCCTCCTTCCCCGGCGTCCTGCGGATACTGCCGCCGCTGTCGCTGCTGCTGCCGCTGCTGCTGCTGCCGTCGTCCCCACCGCCCGGCGCGAACACGCCAGAGGCGCTTTTCATCACCCACTGGAAGGGCGAGCGCGCCTTGAGTGGCGCGGCGGCGGGTGGCGTGTCGAACGCGAAGGAGAGCGCCACGTCGTCGCCCGGGTCCTCCTCGCGCAGCTCCTTGGTGGACCGCCAAAGCCGCGAGCGCAACCGCCGCTGCCCGAACAGCGGCTTGCCGCCCGGCAGCGGTTCTCCTTCCGCCCCTCCCCTTGCCCCCGCCACCCCGCTCCTGCTCGTGCCGTCCACGTCGGGCCGCTCCCCGTCGTCCGGCACGGGCAGCTGCAGCACGTCGAAGGGCGACACGGAAAGGGCCGACGCGGGGAGGGACGACACGGGGAGCACGTCAAGGGACGACGGCGGCGAGCAGCTGCCGGAGGTGTCGAGGCGCGGCTCGCTCGAGTGGTCCATGGCGTCGCCGCGCCCCTCTATCATGCGCTGGTTTAGCGACTCGCTTTTTTCGCGCCGCTCCGCCGGCGAGCCTAGCTCCGTTTGAAAGTCGAGCCGCGACTGGCGGCGCTGTGCCGCGTGGTTAGCGGTGGCCGCATCGTGTTCCACGATGCGGTGCGACGAGGTGCGCCAGGGGCGATTGCTGCGGCGGCCGGGGGCGCGATTGGTGTGCTCGTTAGAGTGAGAGTGAGAGTGGGGGAGGGAGTGGGAGTGCGAATGAGGGTAAGAGTGGGAGTGCGAGTGGGGGTGAGTCGCCGCGTCGATCATCATCGACGCCGACACTGACGTCACCATCGCTGCGCGCCACTGCTGGGACTGACAGCTGAGACGGCCTGCTTAAATTATCCTCAGTGCAACCCTAACGGCGATAAAAGTCGTGCTTCAGCTCTAACCCCCTCGCCTGTCCGAAGACTAGGCATTACGCGAGCAGTGCACCGTAAGCTAAATAGCTCTACCGTTAACGAAATTCAGTGGTATAAATAAACCTGGACGTGCTCACAGGCATATGAGCCTTGCCTAAGACCGCCAAGGAGTGTGTTGCCGACGAGCCGCCGCCTCGCCCTCGATTCTTCCTCAACAAGGCGAACCTCTCCATACGACTACAAACTATATACACCAGTATATAGCACTAACTACAAACATACGACTCCTTATAATGCTGTGAGAGGCAGCTCATGGCATGTACCACTTCGTCAGAATCTAGTATCCCTATTTGCGATTAGACTTGGCTTGATGCGAGGATGTGTTCCTCCTGTTTCGCGTGCTGAGTGCCCTGCGATACCGCACCAGCTGTTCCTGCTCCGTTAGCGGCAAGCCCAGGCTCAAGCGTAACACTGTGAGCAGCTCGGGGAAACTCTCAAGCGTGTCAAAGAGATCATCAATTAGCAGCAGCAGCAGCTCACACTCCGTCTTTGCCTGCCCACACACCCACCCCATCCCAACACACAAGGGTAAAAACTCGATGAAAAAACAGCCGGAAAGGAATGCAGGTTTGAGAAAGAACTACCAAGTGCCGCATCATCACACAACCAAAACAGGAGCATACCTGGAAGGTTCCTTCCATGAAGAGGAAGGGGACTCGTTGCTCGGGCCACGAGGGTTCGCTGGTCTGCAGCTCGAGCACCTCAGAGAGCCCGTCCAGCCCCATCACATGACCCACGCCCACCGTCCTGCTCTCAAACGCTGCCTGCCCCAGCAGATGGCTGTTGTGCCGCACAGAACCATAGCTCTCATGTGAAGCCGCTGTGCTGTGCACCCGCGGCACCACGCCGCTTGCACCCCTGTGCCCTGCCCCCTCCCCACACCCGTCCTCCGCATCCTCTCGCAGTGGCTCAATGGCGTCGCCAGGCAAGGGGAATCCGTCCCCTGACCCGCATGAGTCGCTGTGCATGAGGCTGCTGCTCGCAATGGTGCACAGCGATGAATCGTACACACGTGTGCGCCGGGAGCACCCAACCATGGCAGGGCTCTCACCATGCTGCACTTCGCATGCACCGGGAGCAGGCGAGGCATCACCACCATGCATGTTGCATGCATCGCCTATGCTGTTTGTGCTATTTTTCCCATGCAAGTCATGCATGGGAGTGGGCATGTGCAGAGCAGCAGTGGCGGGCGCGGGGTGGAGAGGCGGTGCCATGGGGCTACCATGGGAGGAGCAGCTGGCCTGGCGCTGCATGGAGCGCGCCCGACAGCGCCTCATGCTCACTGCTCGCGCCAACTTCATGCCCTCACTGCCCAGCTGGGAAAGGGGGTATTGGGAAACAAGAGGAACATCACAGGGAGAAGCAACAAGGTTGTTGCTACAACAACAGCACAAGGCAAGAAATCAGGAAATTGCATTGCAAGATCACCGGAGGCTGGCAACACCCCCCCCCCCCCCCCCCCAAGCGTACGATGGGTTTGCCTGGCAGCGTGGCGGCAGTCTCGACGAGAGTGTCCGCCCCGTGCAGCGCCCACGCCATCTCCAGTGTGCCCGCGCGCACCACGTACACGTGCCGGCTCACCTCGCCCTCCCTCACCACCACATCCCCCGCTGCCACTGCACGTGGCACCAGCACGCGCTGCAGAGTCGCCAGGCACTGCTGCTCGTGCGGGAAGAAGGGGCTGCAGGGGCAGGGGGAAGGGGGGAGGAGGGAAGGGGGAGGGAAAGAATGGGAGCGAACAAAACGGAGAGCAGAGGGTGATAAGTGGAAGGCTAGGAGGTGGTGAGAAGGGGGAGGAGACAAGGCATGGTGGCAGGGGGGAGAAACGACGCAGGAGGAGCGAGTGGCATGGCAGCAGCGGAGGGAGCAGACCTGGGAGGCACATGTTGCGTCCACCAGTGCACAAAGAGGTCCGTTCGCAGATCGTCCTGTGGCCATGCCGCCATGCACCCAGAGGGGTGGGGGTGGAAGGGGTTCCGGGGTAAGAGACACAGTGGAGGAGGAGAGTGAGCGAGGGGGAGGGGAGGGATGAGGGCGCAAAGCAAGAGGAGCCAGCAGGTGTGTAGATGGTTATTTTCTGTTGGGTCGAAAAAAGACAGTGGGAAGCAGATAAGACTCACAGTGAGGCTCTGCATGACTCACAGTGAGGCTCTGCATGACTCACAGTGAGGCTCTGCATGACTCACAGTGAGGCTCTGCATGACTCACAGTGAGGCTCTGCATGACTCACAGTGAGGCTCTGCATGACTCACAGTGAGGCTCTGCATGACTCACAGTGAGGCTCTGCATGAGCTCGAGCTCCTCAAACTTGCTGTTGACTGACGCCTGCCACTGCCGCATCAGATACGCCATCTGCACTTGCAGGGGCCAGGCACGAGGCATGGGATGGGCCAGGCACGAGGCATGGGATGGGCCAGGCACGAGGCATGGGATGGGCCAGGCACGAGGATGGAAGAGGCATGGGATGGGCGAAGCACGGGGATGGAAGAGGCATGGGGAGCGAAGAGGCATGGGGAGCGAAGAGGCATGGGGAGCGAAGAGGCATGGGGAGCGAAGAGGCATGGGGAGCGAAGAGGCATGGGGAGCGAAGAGGCATGGGGAGCGAAGAGGCATGGGGAGCAAAGAGGCATGGGGAGCGAAGAGGCATGGGGAGCGAAGAGGCATGGGGAGCGAAGAGGCATGGGGAGCGAAGAGGCATGGGGAGCAAAGAGGCATGGGGAGCGAAGAGGCATGGGGAGCGAAGAGGCATGGGGAGCGAAGAGGCATGGGGAGCGAAGAGGCATGGGGAGCGAAGAGGCATGGGGAGCGAAGAGGCATGGGGTGGAAGAGGCATGGGGTGGAAGAGGCATGGGGTGGAAGAGGCATGGGGTGGAAGAGGCATGGGGTGGAAGAGGCATGGGGTGGAAGAGGCATGGGGTGGAAGAGGCATGGGGTGGAAGAGGCATGGGGTGGAAGAGGCATGGGGTGGAAGAGGCATGGGGTGGAAGAGGCATGGGGTGGAAGAGGCATGGGGTGGAAGAGGCATGGGGTGGAAGATGCAGAAGTTTGAAGAAGGCATTCGAACGGCGGAGGCATGGGAATGGCAGAGGCATGAGGGGGCGGGGGTGGAGGGCAGGCGAGCACACCATGCGGTTGGCCAGCCACTCTGGCAGGTGTTCCCTCTCGATGAACCTGGATGCATGGCGCGAGGAGGAGGCACGGATGCAGGGCACGCAGAACACAGGGGGCAGGCGGGTGGAAAGTGAGGGCAGGTGAAGTGCGAGAGCAGAAATCAGGTGAAGTGCGAGAGCAGAAATCAGGTGAAGTGCGAGAGCAGAAATCAAGTTACAGCAATAGGCAGAAATCAGGTTACAGCAATAGGCAGAAATCAGGTTACAGCAATAGGCAGAAATCAGGTTACAGCAATAGGCAGAAATCAGGTTACAGCAATAGGCAGAAATCAGGTTACAGCAATAGGCAGAAATCAGGTTACAGCAATAGGCAGAAATCAGGTTACAGCAATAGGCAGAAATCAGGTTACAGCAATAGGCAGAAATCAGGTTACAGCAATAGGCAGAAATCAGGTTACAGCAATAGGCAGAAATCAGGTTACAGCAATAGGCAGAAATCAGGTTACAGCAATAGGCACAAGGTGAGCAGCACCTGTGCAGCGCGATGCGCGCACCTGTGGAGCGTGGTCATGCGTTGGCGCATGGATTCGCGCTGCATGCGGCGGGCATAGACCATGGAGGAGAGCTCGCCAATAGTGTAGCCCAGCATGATGGCCGTGAGCAGTATGTACACCGTGGCAAACAGGCGCTCTGCTAGTGTGTTCATTGGGTGGATGTCCCCGTACCCCACCTGGCTTCAGGGAAAGGAAAGGGGCGGTAGGAAGCGGGCAAAGGGATGCAAAGGCATGTGGTGTGCGGTACACGTGGAATGAGCACATATCTAAGCTGGGAGTCAGGGCTGGGAAGGTGGGTTGGCATGACAGCGCTGCAGGGAAGGATGCTGCTGATTCTGCGGGTACGCACCCCAGCGAATGTGACCATGGACCAATAAATAGCCGCCACGTAGACCACGCCAGCGGGTGCTGACTCCAGCGTCTGCGCAACGCCACCCTCGCTCCAATAGGTTGCCCCCAGCCATGTCTCATCCGGCAACTCTAGACGGCCAATGAGCACGAAGATGCACGCGCCTATGTGGCAGAGCATGCAGATCTGAGGGGGCGGGATGGGGAGGCAGAGGGAGATGGCGGAAGAGGAGAAGGAGTGACCCTGGTGGAGATGGCTCACTGGCACCCACGCAGCAGCTCCTACTCTCTTTTCTAACTCTGGCCTCAATTGTTTCATAAAGCCTGAGAGACAGGACCATTCCGGGATGGGGACGGGCGCACCTGGAAGAGCAAGGGCATGAGGGGTGGGAACCTGGAAGAGCAAGGGCATGAGGGGTGGGCACCTGGAAGAGCAGGATGGCGACGTCCATGTAGTTGGTGTTGACAGACGCGCGCCTCAGCTGCTTCGCTGCCACGCCCAGCCGGTGCACCCGGAACAGCTTCAACAGCCGGAACGCCTATGCACACAGACGCATGCACGCACACATGCTCGCACGCACACGGGGGAGTACACATGCATGTAGGGGGCAGCGCGGTGAATGGCGTACTATGAGGTGTGCGCGAATGAACATGGGCGTGGGTACAGACGCACAGAGCAGAGGCATGGATGCGCGCGCATGCGGCCAGTTTGCAGGCAGGGGAGGCGGGCAGTGGGGCACGCAGGGAGGCGGGCAGTGGGGCACGCAGGGAGGCGGGCAGTGGGGCAGGCAATGGGGCCGGCAGGGGGGCAGGCCGTGGGGTAGGCCCGGCAGTGCGCATGTGCATGAGCAGGGAGGGGGGCGGGGGGGGGGGGGGGGGAACGCACGACGGAGATCCAGAAGCCAGCGGGGGAGTCGGAGGCGAGCGAGGTGAGGAGGTCGAAGGGCAGTGAGGAGAGCAGGTCCAAGGCGAACCACGTGCGCAGGTAGTGCCACACCACCTTGCGCTGGCCATGGGGGGATGGGCGAGGGGAGGTTGGCAGAGAGGAGAGGAGCGGAGGGAAGGCGGGTGAGGGTAGAGCAAGGAGGGGAAGATGATGGTAGGAGCATGGAGAGAAGAAAAGGGAGGTGAAGAAATAGGAGAAACAGCACCATAAGGGGCAACGAAGCCGCTCCAAGGAGACTCGTGCCGTGAGCAAGAGATGGCGGGTAGCAGAGTGAGACGTCAACTGCCCAGTGTGTGTGTTGCTGATGGGGTGGGATTGGGTGGGTGGTGCGTACCTGATCCATGACGATCTGTTGCGGCTTGAGCACCTTCATGCCGTCGTCCATCACCACGTGCTTCTCCTTCGTCACGTACCTGCGTGAAGTGAAGCACACGCGTGTGGCAAATGATGACGTGGCAACGAGGCACGAGTCATGACGTCCCATGTTTCACCAGAAGTGATGGCGTGGCGGAACACAGCAGGCGACACACGGAAGAAAGGCAAAAGCGAGAGGGGAAGTGGGCCAGCCCGTTTGCTCTCACCCGGTTTTGAAGCCGAGGAAGACGTCGGCGAGAAAGATGGCGGAGAGGCACGCGTCCACGATCTGCCACGCTCCCTGCGCGCGCAAGTTGAACGCCACCTGGTAGAACACCTCCCACTGCGCGCCCCCATGCACCGGGGGAAAGAAAAGAGGGGGGGAGGATGCGGTGTGGGGGGGTTCAGGAAGGCAGGAGGGGGAAGGGAGATTGAAGGGACGAGGGAAGCTCTGACACCCACGTCACAACACATTTCACGCAAAATCAGAAACGCTCCGTCCAGGAAAACCAGTGCAGAGTACTCGTGTGGGGCGGGCGGCGGGGGACTGACGACGTTGTAGGTGATGCAGAGGGCGATGAGGAGGTTGACGTCGCGGCGGAAGCGCGAGTAGGGGTGTATCACCGGGATGCGCACCCGCCGCATCACGTTCACCACCCGCCGGAACACCTGCACCTGCACGTTGAACGGCCGAGCCTGAGCCGCCTCGCGCTCGCTCGGCGGGTCGGAAGGGGCGGCGACCGCATGCGCCGCCATGGGCTGCGCGAGGTACCCCTTGAATGTGAACCCCCGCGGAATCGCCTCTTCCGCCGGCTTCCCCCGCCAGAAATCCTCCCCCCACTTGAGCTTCCCCCCCGCGCGCATGCTGCATGCGCCATGGTGGCCTTGCCGCTTCGAGTAGGCGGGAACTAGTCGGTCGGAGCGGCGCGATCGGAGATCGTCGGCGTCGTCCTCTGATCCCTCCGAATCCACCCGCAGTCTCAATTCCCGCCGTCGCCGCGCGGCTTCCGCATTAGACGGTTCCGCATCAACAGAATCACATGCTCTGTCGGTCGCGTTCGCGCCTAGGGAATCCCACTGCCGCTGTAGCTCTCGGGGCTCCTCCTTACGCAGCATCGGCGACTGCAGATTCCGTTGGTTCGGCTGCGACGATGTAGTCGACGGCCCTTGCGATCTATCGTGCGATGCTGGCAATGTTCGCGATGGCTGGACAATTCCTGGAACGTCTGACGAGGCGGCGTTTGCACGCGACACGTCCCTCGAAGCACTCACGGAGACCGAGACGTCATCGTGACGAACGGGCTGCGTGCGCTGACCGCCTTCGAGGGGATCTCGCGTGGCGGACGACGACTCTAACGGCCGGCTGCTGTCCACCTGAACGTGGTCGTCTGCAAAAGACATGTCGTCGTCCGTCAGGCAGCGAGACAGCTTCTTGCACGGACTCGAACGGTCGGTTACTGTCATATTGTTCCGCTCGCTTGGTGCTCCGTATGAACATCTATCTGACCGCACGAATAACCGTTGATGGCAATGTGGAGTGGGTTTCGGCAGAACTCATAACCGGAAAGTAAGGTGGACAGCACCGGCACGACTCCCAGAAAAGCTAGGCTTGTGTTGCTGTCTAATGTTGCGAGCATGCGAGCTTGACGTTCAGTTGCTGTGCTGTCCTTGAGCCTGTGGCTGCGGAAGACCGATGCCCTTGAGCACGCCAGGGCTGCTTGCTTGGATGCGATGCGATGGCTGGAGGACAATCTCAAGAAGGTTGTCACAACACAACAGACAGAAGCGCAGAGCGGTGCCCCTTTTGTCGTAAAAACAAATATTGATAATGTCAACTGGTAAAGCTTATGCACCTGCCCTTATATTAACTGTTATATTGTATAAACAATTAAACATAACCCTCATGCATTAGCATGTCTCCTGATCCATGAATGTTGCAGAACCTCTACCAGAGTAATCCTACCAAAGGGGTCCTTATTGAGCATGCTACCAATTAGATCTATACACTCTGGAGAAACTTTTCTCCACCACGCCAGGCTGAAATCCACCCCTTGTGTCAACACTGCTTCCGCTACCTGTTGCTTCGTTGGGGCCCGATACGGGGACACACCGGCTATGCAGAAATACAGGAGAGCTCCAAGTCCCCAGATGTCAGCTTCAGGCCCGTATTGCCCCTTCCACACTTCAGGGGCGATGTATTGAGTGGTTCCCGCAAACTCAGTCAGCGAATCTCCGTCCTCAAAGAAAGTGGCGACACCAAAGTCGCTCAGTTTGACGTGGGGCTCATCAGAATCGTCTAGGAGCAGCACATTCTTCGGCTTGATGTCGCGATGCATGATTCCATGGCGGTGGCAGTGCAACACTGCTGTCGCCAGAGCGTGGCAAACCTTGGCAGCGCTGCGTTCACTCAGCGTGCCGCGCTGCGTCACTCGGCGGAAGAGATCGCCGCCGTGGCAGAGCTCCATGACGAGGTGCACGCGCTTGCCATCCTCCACGGCGTCGTGCAGACTGATGATGCTCGGATGGCCCCTCACCTCCCACAAACACGCCACCTCCGTGCGGATGGCCTCGGCGTCTTCGTACGTCTGTCACACATCAGAGGCAAAAACAAACCGGTGAGGATCTGCATATAGGTTGAACGATGATATGCCGTTGGACGAATGGTTCACCATCATCACGAAACAACGAGAAACGGATGTTGAAGGAACGTACCGTGATCTGTTGCTTGCGGATGGTCTTGCAGGCTAGCAGCCGGCCGGAGTCGGCTTCAACGCACGGCCGGACGGCGCCGTACTCGCCCGTGCCGAGCTGCTCCTTGTGCACCAGGTACCGCAGCCTGATGTCCTCGTACCGCTGCCGCAGCACAAACCGAGACGGCCCGAACCCCACGCTGTCGGACCGCGCCAGGCTGCTGCTGCTGCTGCGACTAGTAAGTGTGCTGCCGCTGCGACTCATACTGCTGCTCCCGAAGCTACTCCCGCAGCTACTTGCGATGCTCCCCGCACCATTTATGCTGTTGGCCTTGAAACTGCCGCTGCGTCGACGGGGATCCGCGCCAACGTTGCCTCCTAAAGACGCACGACGGCGGGTTATCGCCGCATGCCACGCCGCTGCGGCTTTCGTGGCACGGTTTTCCTCTGCTATTTCCGCCGTCGGTTGAAAGCCATCCGCATGTCGAGCAGAGATCAGCATCTGTTCAGACTGGGTCGATGTCTGACCCTCTGTGACCGCCGGAGCAGCTGCACTAGTACTTCTTTCGGATAAATGGCCGCTGCTTGGACATCTTTCGCAACAGTCTCTAGCGGCGGGCTGTGCCTTCTCGCCCTTAGTACTCCCATGATGGTTACCTCTCGGCCGGAAGATGGACGGGAAGAATATTCCTGCTGTGCAGGTTCGGTGAAAACGTCGATCGGAGTCACAGGTCACGCCGTCAGTTCCAGTACCGTGAGGATCAACTTCGTTCCGCGAACGGCCACGCACGTTGCGGCCCATGATGCCTCTGACCATGCTTGTAATCCCTCAATTGCACGCGTGACGGAATATTGTAGTACTACTCCTTGAAACTGTACTATGTCTGGAAAACTACTTGGCTTGGAAAAAATACTTGGAATGGCAATGCTCCCTTCAAGACGTTCTTGGTTGCCTAAGGGATGCTTGGCTGACACTTTCGCGAGTCCCGCAGCAGCAAAGTTGCTGTTTGTGAGGCCGACCGACCACAGGATATTTCGTCCCATGTGATGTCTCTTCCTCTTTCAGCTTTGAAGGGCCTGAGGAGGAAAGGTGTTGCTGCACAAAAGTTGCCACAGTGGCAAGCTTTGCCTGTTTCCCTGCTGCCCGTGACAGCAGAAGTGAGTGTGATGGCTGGTTTGTCTTCTCGTCGCTGCTTACGAATTGGTGCTCTAGTTTCCTGTCTTCCAATGTGGCGCGGTAGCGACCGTGCAATCCGTCGAGTTGAATGAGTTGCTACATTACTCAAACCATTTTCAACCGTTCTATCCATCGGCAAGAACAACTTGAAACGCAAGGTAGACCACCAAACCCCCGCTAACACAGCCGGAACAGAGTTGAATGAGCCGTTATGGGCTTCAATGTTCAAATCAGACCCAACCAAACGCTCTATTCACTGTATCAGCAAAGCGCAAGGTAAACCACCAAACCTTCCAGCTAAACCCAGCACATCCATTCGCGCACCAGCTCACTGGACGCGCCTACAAAGAATCGTAGCCCTGGATATCGTCGTGAACCTGGGTCACAAACCGGATTGTCACGCATCCACATCATCAGCAACGGCCTTTCCACTAAATATGTTCAGCTGGTCAATGATGGTGTTCTGGCAGCAGCGGTGTTGCTCATGCTCCTTACATTGCACTTGAAAGAAAATCTTGGATATGCTCAGCAAGATTTTCGGGACTACCCGTTGTGCAGGGTCGGACCTCGGCTACCATGTCTTATCTCCCCTCACATCCCGTAAAAACAAATGGTGTGTAGGTTTTTTATGCCTTATTTTTTTCGAGCCTTGGTTTGGGAGTAAAAATCTACCTATATTTTTACCACTCATTCTTTCACGTGGGCCCTGATCTATTGGATCTACCGAAAATATATATATCATAACAATGTATTGCAGCTCACGCAAATACATTGTACATCTTCATAAACTAGTGTGCATCAAGTCGCACTAGTATGAACAGCTCATGCCAATGCAAATTTACGTGTGCAACATCCCAGTCTCAAGGTAGCTTCTGCTGTACAAGAATGTTACTATTCTAACGTAAAAGCTCTACGCAACCCTCGGTCTCAGATAAAGCAAGGGTAGTTACACTACCGTAGTTATTGGCGACGAGGTGTACAATGACGTTAGAAGTACTGAGCAAGAAAGCATTTCGATCGATCGAACCTTCGAAACTGTTTTGCACTGAATTGTGTCGCGGCTGCTGCACCCGCATCACGTTGAGGAGGATGCAGTAGTTGTCGTCTTGCGTAATATGAATCAGAGGGCGTGGCCTAGCATCATTTGAAAAAATCAAATCCTAACATGGCCTTAGGCCAACTCTGTCGCCGCTGTAAATGATCCGTCTTGCAAATGTTCAAGCAGCATGTGACAGCCTTGGCCTGACGGAACACTGTCACGCGACCACGTGGTTTCTGTACACCAGGTGAACGATGGTTTCGCACTGTCGGATTGTTTTCATCTCTCAAACACCCAGAAATCAGGGGTGATTGATGATCTGGGTAATATAATTCATTCTTCAAAACTCCCATATATGAGACAACATTAGGGCGTGCACCTGCATTTGTGACTTTGCAATGATGAGATCATTGCCAAGGCATTCACAGTATACGAAATCTCAAGCAGCCTCAACGAGACCGAGAATCACCTGGACATATCCCACCTCAACGCGAAAAGCATAGCTGACGTGCCGAACATGTCTCTGCGGGGGAGCACGGATGACAACACGCGCCTGCATGGGAAGGCTCTGGTCCGGAAGAGGACGTGTTACGAATCGTAATTATTGAAACATTTCTGTGCACTCCTCACCGCAGCAAACGGAGCACGCACTACCGAGGTTGAAGACGAAAGGGCGGAAGTAACGAGAAGAGTCGCACTGTTACAAAAATCATCTGGGCCGTCGGGCAGACAGCATCAGGCAGCAGCAGTGGCGAGTATTCTGCCCGAACAGTTTTGTAACTGTCTGGAGTCGCACGATTGGTGTTCGCTGTAATAAAGAAATGTATCGTATTACCCCGGATAAAAGCGCAGGTGCGCTTATAATAAAACAGTGTTTTTTGGGGGGGTGCGCTTCTAATTGAGGTGTCTGTATACGCGCATGCGCCTATAATAAGGAAAAAATGAAATTCAGTTTTTAACATACTAAACTGAAGCCCGCAATAAGGCGAATCCAACGGACCATGCAACAAGTGGAAGCGTGCATGGTTTACAGGCAAAAACAGCTGCGGTTCGGTTTCCCACTGCACAAAGTTGTATAGAACCATCGAACGTGACAGGAGTGACGGGGATGTTGCCGTGCGGCCCAATCACAGCCGCATGCGCTGCGTGGCATCTGCATTTCTTCCGAACCCTCTCGAAGGGTGGGGAAGATTCCCTGCCAGCGCAGCGAATATGCTGCCACGCAGGTTCCTCTACAGGGGTAGGCGGGGGTTTCCTGCCTGTCATTTACGAGGACCCCGAGCCGCTAGCCCGCAGGGATCCCCGTCGTTGCCCATTTCTGCACCCTCCTCCTCATTTTTTTCATTCAGTTTCTAGTCTAGCCCGCCTGGCTGGCAAAGCAATGGCGGAATTCAGTGGGACGCACCTCCTTTTCAAGAAGAAACCAACCCGCGCCTTGCGACTAACCTCGGACGGGTGGTATACACGTGAGCCACCAACGCCTCCAGTGCCACCTACACCTCCTGCACCGCCTGCTCCGCCTGCTCCTCCTGCACCTCCTGCTCCTCCTGTCAGAACATTATAGCTTATATATATTTGTGTAGGCTATAGAGGGGTATCCCATAGGGGGTACAACCCAATCAGGGTTTCCTATATGTACTCACTTCATTCAAAGTTGATTCATCCTCGTTCTAGTTTTCTCATGGTATCGAGCAGGTTCCCCCGTGGGAACTGTGCTTAGGGCCCACCACATCGAACTTTTTTTTCTGCCCGGAGCGCGCTCCGGGCCCTCTCTCTCACTTTTTCGACCTGCCCTAACGGCCCCCTTAGACGCCCGCGCGCCGCCCGTCCCGGCCCCTAGACGCCCGCGCGCCGCCCTTAGACGCTCGCGCGCCGCCCGTCCCGGCCCCTAGACGCCCTCGCGCCGCCCGTCCAGGCCCAACGCCGCCCGCGCGCTGCCCTTAGAGCCCGCGCGCCGCCCGTTCAAGCCCCCGCCGCCCGCGCGCTGCTCTTAGAGCCCGCGCGCCGCCCGTCTCGGCCCCCTAGACGCCCGCGCGCTGCCCGTCAGGCCCTCACGCCGCCGTCGCGCCACCCTTAGGCGCCCGTGCGCCGCCTGTCCCGGCCCGTCGCCACCGTGTGCCGCCTGTCCCGGCCCCACCCCACCCGTGCGCCGCCCGTCAGGCCCCACGCCGCTGTCGCGCCACCCTTAGGCGCCGGTACGCCACCCGTCCCGGCCCGTCGACGCCGTGCGCCGCCCGTTCCGGCCCCACGCCACCCGTGCGCCACCCGTCCCGGCCGCGCGCAGCTGTCCCGGCCCCCCCTCGTCGCCCATGCGCACCCAGTCCCGGCCCCGCTCCCAGCCGCTCGTGCACCACCCGACCTGGCCGCACGCCGCCGTCCCGGCCCCACGCCGCTGTGACACCCAGCCGCCCGAGCCGCCCGTGCCGCCTACGTCACCCGAGCCGCTCGAGCCGCCCGTGCCACCTACGTCACCCGAGCCGCCTGCGCAGCTGAGAAGCCGAGCCGCCCGAGCCGCCCGAGCCGCCTGCGCCGCCCGAGCCGCCCGAGCCACCTGAGGAGCCGAGCCGCTGGTCCCGCGGTGCTGCGGTTGCTGCTGGGCCGGCCGAGCTGCCGTGTTGCTGTACTGCTGAGCTGCGCGACCCGTCCTGTCTGGTGAGACCGCCGACTGCTGTCATGGCTACCCCTAGTGTCCTGGCTTTTGACGCTGAGGGCCGTGCTATTGACTTTGAGGTCTGGGTCGACGACCTGCAGCTGTTCTTGCAGTGCGATAGGGTAGACGACCTTTCTCTCTTTGACCTTACCTCTGGCGCCGTCCCTGCCCCTGCTGCTGATGCCGACCCCACTGTTCGCTCCAAATGGGCCACACGCAATGCTGCTGCACGTCTTGCTGTGCGTCGCCACCTGCCTACCGCTGAGCGCGCGCACTTTAGTCAGTACAAGTATGCTCAGACCTTGTACGACGCTGTAGTTGCGCGCTACTCCTCCCCTGCCACTGCTGCACTGAGCCGCCTCATGCTACCCTTCCTCTTCCCTGACCTTGCTGCCTTTCCCACTGTCACTGATCTCATTATCCACCTCCGCACTAGTGACACTCGCTACCGCGCTGCGCTTCCTGCTGACTTCTGCGCCAAGAACCCCCCCCCAATGTACATCACTCTCTACTTCATAGTCACTCGTCTCCCTGACTCCCTTCGTGAAGTCAGGGACCACTTCCTCTCAGTCTGTCCCACCACACTCACTGTAGACCTCCTCGAGAAGTCCCTCTTAGCGGCAGAGAAGAGCATTGTCGCCGTAGGGGCCTCTCGTCGTGACCCTCGCACCCCCATCTTTGAGGGGTGTTCTCCTTCCCCCCTGCTGCCCTCTGTCGCCTCTGCTGCTGCGGCCGACCTCGTTGGTCTTGAGTCGGTCGGTGCGGCGTCTGCCCTAGCGGGAGACGCCGCCCTGGCAAGGGCAAGGGGGGCAAGGGCGCGGGTGGAGCTAGCGGGGGCGGTGGCGGTGGAGGTGGGGGCGACGGGGGAAGTGAGGGTGGCGGTGGAGGTGGTAGCGGGGGTGGGGGTACTAGTGGCACCAGTGGAGGCGGGGGTGGCGGCGGCGGTGGCGGTGGGAGCAGAGGTGGCGGAGGTGGCGGCAGTGGAGGCGGAGGCGGGGGTGGCGGTGGTGGAGGTGGTCGGAGTGGCACTTCGCAGCGGAGCAGCACTGGGGGTGGTCAGCGCCAGCAGCAGCAGCAGCAGCAGCGTCGTCGCGACGTCCCCACCCCTCAGCAGCTCCGTGAGTGGTACACGCAGCGTCAGCGTGGTGGGGGTTTTGGTCCCTGCACCTACGTCCTTCGCACTGGCGACCGCGCTGGAGAGCAGTATGGGGGTACCCACACCGCCCAGCGCTGCTTTGGCCGCCTGACAGACGCTTGGCGCCAGCAGTTCCCGGAGGCTGCGGAGATCCCCCGCTGGGGAGAGCTGTCTAGGGCTGGTGTAGCTATCTTTGATCTTGATTTTGATGCTATCCTTGCTGCCATGTATGCTGTGACTATTAGTGATGAGGGTGACTGTTACCGGTGTTTCCCGCCCGACCCGGGCATTGGTACTATTGCTCTAGATGCCAGTGCGTCTGTGCTCTCAGGTACTGGTGAGTCTGCACTCTCAGGTACTAGTGAGTCTGCGCTCTCAGATAGTCGGCTTCGGCCTCCCACACCTTCACCCTTGACTCTGGGGCGTCTCGCTCCTTCTTTCGGGACCGCACCACACTCACGCCGCTTAGTCGGCCGGTTGCGGTGTCCCTGGCTGACCCCTCTGGGGGTCCAGTCCTGTCTCGCTTCTCCACAGTCCTCCCGTGTCCGGCGGCTCCCTCTGGCACCCTGTCTGGTCTCTACCTCCCCTCGTTCTCTACGAACCTGGTGAGTGGTGCTGACCTACAGGATGCGGGAGTCCACCAGTTCACTCCTGCTCGTCAGCGGGTGACGCACTGCACAGAGGCTAGCACAGGTCGCCACCTGGCTACGTTTACACGTCAGCCAGGGTCGAGCCTGTACACACTGACCACTGCTTCTCCTCCAGTTGCTGAGTTTGGTAGGGTCCCTTCTTCTGGTCAGGTGTTTGCTGCAGCGTCCAGGTCTGGTCCTGAGTTTGCCCCCTGTTCGTGTCGTCGCCTGTCTCACGAGACTCTCCTCTGGCACCACCGCCTTGGTCACCCCTCTCTGCTTCGGCTCAGAGGCATGGCCTCCCGTCTTCTTGTGTCTGGTCTCCCCCGGTCCCTCCCTCCCCTTCCTCAGGGCCCTGGCCCTGCCTGTGTCCCCTGTGTCGAGGGGCGCCAGCGTGCTGCCCCTCACTCCTCCCAGTTTCCTCCGACAGAGGCTCCGTTGCAGACGCTTCACATGGACGTGTGGGGCCCTGCCCGCGTCCGTGGACTAGGTCACGAGCGCTACTTCCTGTTGGTGGTTGACGACTACTCGCGTTACACCACAGTCTTCCCCTTGCGCAGCAAGGGTGATGTCACTGAGGTGCTGATCGACTGGATCCGCGCAGCTCGTCTCCAGCTCAGGCAGAGCTTTGGCTCGGACTTTCCTGTTTTGCGTCTGCACTCGGACAGAGGCGGAGAGTTCTCCTCTGGCCTTCTGTGTGCCTACTGTCGTGCGCGAGGCATCCGTCAGACCTTCACGCTTTCGGACTCACCGCAGCAAAATGGGATTACGGAGGGCCGCATTGGCATGGTCATGGACGTCGCTCGTACGTCTATGATGCATGCGGCTGCCCCCCATATTCTGTGGCCGTTTGCGGTCAGGTACGCGGCGCATCAGATCAACCTCCACCCCAGGGTCTCCAGGCCGGAGACCTCCCCAGCCCTGCTGTGGACGGGGAAGGTTGGCGATGCGTCGACGTTCCGGGTCTGGGGATCTCGGGCGTTTGTCCGCGACTTGTCTGCGGACAAGCTGTCCCCTCGCGCTGCTCCCTGCGTCTTCCTTGGGTTCCCCCCCGACGCCCCTGGGTGGCAGTTCTACCACCCCACCTCTCGCCGTGTTCTGTCCTCCCAGGACGTCACATTCGACGAGTCGGTACCCTACTACCGCCTCTTCCCCTACCGCACTCCGTCCCTCCCCCCTCCCCCGCTCTTCTTGGTACCAGGCCCCCCCCCGGTAGACCCTCTTCCCCCTCAGGGTCCTGCCCCTTCAGGTGTGTCCCAGGTAGACGCGGTCGAGCCTGTCGAGGTCACTGGTGACTCTGGTGCTGCTGCAGGTGCTGAGCCTAGGGGTGCTGTGACAGGGGGTGCTGAGCCCGGGGGTGCTGAGCCTGGGGGTGCGGAGCCTGGGGGTGCGGAGCCTGGGGGTGCTGAGCCTGGGGGTGCTGAGCCTGGGGGTGCTGAGCCTGGGGGTGCTGAGACTGGAGGTGCTACGCCTGGAGGTTCTTCGCCTGGAGGTTCTCCGGGTGCTTCGTCTCGCCGAGAGCCACTCTCCCCACAGGAGCTGCGTGAGTGGTTTGCCCGGCGCTGGAGGCGTGCTGCTGGTGCTGGAGGTTATTCGGCTGCTGAGGGTGCTGCTGCCGCGGGTCCCGGAGGTGCTCGTACTGGGAGTACTGGAGCTGCTGGGCCTGCGGGTTCGACTGGAGCTGGTGCTGCTGAGGGTGTTGGCGCTGAGACTACCACTGGCGGTCCGACTGGCGGTGCTCCTGGTGCTGCTGGAGGTTCTGGAGCTATTGGAGGTGTTGCTGGAGGTGCTGCTGGAGCGGGTACTCCTGCTGGGGGTACTGGTGCTGTCCCTGCTGTTTCTGGCGTTGCCACGCGGCCCCGACCGTTCTTCGTTCCACTCCTACAGCAGGTTCTTGGTCTTACACCTTCTCCTGGTCCTCCTCCACCTCCCTTAGAGGGTCCACAGCCTGTCCAGTCACAGGCACGGCTACAACCTCCCTCCCCTTTGCCTGCTCCTTCTCCCTACGCTGGTCCGACTAGAGGTCTTACTGAGCGTCATGAGCCTGCGTCTCGTCCTGCGTCGCCTGTTCGTGCTGCGCGCACTGGTGGTTGCGGTTCGCGTCAGCGTCCTCCTCCTGTCCCTGGCACGCACCGGATGTCTCTGCGTCCGTCTATTGCTCCTCTGCGTGCCCCTTTGCCTTCTCCTCCTGCTTCCTCTCTTCCTGCTCTTGCCGACCCGGAGTCGGACTCTCTTCGTGGTGCCAGTCCTACTGTCACGCGTCTCCTTGCTACTGCCGTCACTGACCCTTCTTTCGAGTCTACTACTGCGTATGCCCTTATAACTGAGCTCGTCGACTTTGCTGCTCGCTGTCGTCTAGACTACGCTGCTAGTCTTGTCGCTGATCTGAGTCTGCCTGTCCTCCGTCCGTCGGGGGTGAGTGTGCCCTTGGCACGGACGTCCTTGAGGACAGGCAGGAGGATTTCCAGTGTCTGGCCGCCGCTTCACCTCATCTCGCGTCTGTACTGCTCGCCCCTAAGGGAGACCCGGATGCACTAGACATCCCGACTCCGCGCTCTTACGCGGAGGCGATAGAGGGTCCCTACTCCTCTCAGTGGCAGGCAGCTATGGATGCAGAGATGGCTTCCTGGAAGTCCACAGGTACATACGTTGACGCTGTCCCCCCTCCTGGGGCGAACATCGTCAGTGGCATGTGGATCTTCAGGGTGAAGCGGCCGCCGGGTTCTCCGCCTGTCTTCAAGGTGCGTTACGTGGCTCGTGGCTTCAGTCAGCGGCAGGGAGTTGGCTACTTTCAGACCTTCTCCCCCACCCCGAAGATGACCACTCTTCGGGTACTGCTGCACGTTGCTGCTCAACGTGACTACGAGCTGCACTCTCTCGACTTCAGCACAGCTTTCTTGCAGGGCAGCCTGCACGAGGAGATCTGGCTGCGCCGCCCACCTGGCTTCACTGGGTCTTTCCTTCCTGGTACCCAGTGGAGTCTCCGGCGTCCAGTCTACGGTCTCCGCCAGGCGCCGCGTGAGTGGCACGACACACTGAGGACTATGCTGGCAGCACTTGGGTTTGCTCCTTCCACACGACCTGCACACGACCTGACCTTGCATACCCTCTTAGCATTCTCGCACGCTATGTTGCTCCTGGGAGACACCGACCAGAGCACATGGCTGCAGCGAAGAGGGTGTTGCGCTACTTGTGCAGTACGTCGGGCATGGGGCTAGTGCTTGGAGGGCGGAGTCCAGTGGTCCTCACTGGGCATGCGGACGCTTCTTGGGCTGACGACCAGGCTACGCAGCGGTCGTCACAGGGTTACACCTTCAGTCTTGGTTCCGGCTCTGTTTCGTGGCGGGCTACCCCCTCGTCTTCTGTTCTCGGCTCCAGTTGTGAGGCGGAGATCTACGCCGGGGCTATTGCTGCCCAGGAGATTCGCTGGCTCACCTACCTGCTGAGCGACCTTGGAGAGCCGCCTCGTTCTCCTCTAGTCCTGTACGTAGACAACAAGGCCATGCTGGCCTTGTGTCGAGAGCAGCGACTGGAGCACAGGACAAAGCACATTGCTCTACGCTACTTTCTTGCTCGTGAGCTACAGCAGCGTGGACAGTTGCGGCTTGCGTACGTGGCCTCTGAGGCCAACACCGCTGATGTCTTCACCAAGGCACTTGCGCCTTGTGATCATCAGCGCTTCTGCACGCAGCTGGGTCTTGTGCCTGTCTTGCCTCACTTGCTCACTTCTTGACCTTGCTTGTACTTTCACATATATATACTCTTGCTCTTGCTTGCTTAGACTCTTGTATATCTATATATGTGATCTTGCATGTGAACTGGCCTTCTGGCCTTTGAACTTGTGCTCGGAATGTGTGGTGACTTTGTGATCCACCCTGAGCTTGCTTTGCTTTGCTTTGCTTGACTGGTCTTGTGACCCCTTGTTCTCCCCCACTTTGCCTATGGGGGTGTGTCAGAACATTATAGCTTATATATATTTGTGTAGGCTATAGTGGGGTATCCCATAGGGGGTACAACCCAATCAGGGTTTCCTATATGTACTCACTTCATTCATAGTTGATTCATCCTCGTTCTAGTTTTCTCACCTCCTGCTCCTCCCGCTCCTCCGAATCCTCCGACTCCTCCTGTTCCTGACGCGTGGGGTCACCATCGGCCCGTGCTCCAGTTATATTTGCCTGCCACTTTCGACGAGTGGTTGTCTGAACCGGACACACCCAAGGCTAGGCAAATCAATGGTCCGCCGACTGCACCTCGGTGGGGAAATCCTGAAGCCTGCACGTGGGACGAGTCGGCTGTGGGCGGCGACGATGACGTGGCCGCCGATAAACAACCCACATGCGACGGCGATGCTGGAGGCGACGGTGGAGTCGACGGTGAAGAGGGCGCCGAGGAGGACGTGTTCCCAGATCGTGAAGCTACAGACGCGGACGACGACGGTGTGGAGTCTTGGTGGCGCAACGCACCACGCGAGAAGATGCCGATACCAACGTATCCGTCGATTAACAAAAAACGACCCCACCCCTCCTCTGAGAACCGAGATGCCCGCCCCCCCTCTCCCAGGCACAAGCCGACTCAACACAAACGGGAGCGCTACACCGCCCAGGAGAAACTGAAGTGGCTCGTTCGGCTGGAGCTTGCTTCATCGGTAAGTGAGGTCGCGCGGGAGTCTGGCATACACCGCAAATGCCTCACAGAGTGGAAAAACCAAGCGGAGGAGCTCAAGGCTGCACACAGTGCTCGGTGTCGACTTCATGGCCGCGGAAGGTCTTCCTGGTACAGACCCATGGAGATGAAGGTGTACGCCCAAATCCTGGACTGGCGACGCCGCGGTGTGGCAGTATCAGTCGGCCGGCTGCAAGAGTGGTCAAAAGAGGTGATGAAGGTGTTGTTCCCGGACATCAAGTGGAAGGCGAGTCAGCGCTGGACGGAGCGGTTCCGCAAGCGGTGGAATCTCACCGTGCGCATGAAAACAAAGGTGGCGCAAAAGACACAGCAGCGTAAGTGCCTGTCCGTGCACCGTCATCCTATCGTGAAATTTTATCTTGTATTTCAGTACTTTCTTGCCCATGTTTGTTTATCTGTAGCGGTGCTCATCCGCCCTTGTAACCGTTCCTCCCTCCCCGTGCTTAGACGTGGCCAAGCAGTGCAAGGAATTTTGGCTGTTTGTCCGCGACGCACGCCACGACTACGACATCGACAATCGTTACATCATCAATGCCGACCAGACGCCTTTGTGGCTGGAGATGCCGGCGACTACCACGGTGGAGCAGACGGGCGTGAAGTCGGTGCCCATCCGCAGTGGTGGTTACGAGAAAGAGAGAGTCACTGTGATGCTGGCGTGCACGGCGACGGGCGAGAAGTTGAAGCCGTGGGTGTTTTTCAAGCGCAAGACCCTCCCAAAGGGTGACTTTCCGAACGGTAAGAAACTGCGTATGCGCGTGTTTCCGAGGGGAAAAACAAAAGTAAAATCTAACCACCGCTTGCTTGTATGCAGATGTCGTGGTCGGTTGCCAAGCTAACGGGTGGATGGAGGCCTCGGGCGTAATCGAGTGGCTCGATGCAGGCGTGGTGCCGTTCATGAAACCGAAGTTCGGATTGCAGAGCCGGAGCGCCATGCTAGTGCTCGACTCCTATCGTGGACACCTGACACCCGAAGTCAAGGCGAAGTTCGCGGAACTCAACATCGTGCCGGCGGTCATCCCAGCGAGATGCACGGCAGACTTGCAGCCGCTCGATGTGTCCGTCAACAAAAGCTTCAAGGCGAGTGTTCGGCAGCAGTACCAGACCTGGTTCGAGCAGGACGGCATGAACATCCTGACACCCGCAGGTACGCAAAAGTGTTCTCCTGTGACCGCTTCGTCTGTATGTCTGCCTACTTGTGGACCCACGTGTTTCCCACCCCCGTGTATGTGGTGCAGGGAACATTAAGAAACCATCTTCGGAGGTGGTGCTCAAGTGGATTTCACGGGCGTGGAAAGCTGTGCCCGCCGACCTGATAAAGAGAGCGTTCCTCACCTGCGGCATCAGCAATGCCCTTGACGGGAGTGAAGACGGACTGGTGCTGGCGCACCGGAGAGGTCAGCTATCCCACGAGGTAGAGGTTGATGACGACATCCAAGCAGACGGGTTCTTTGGCAACAACTCCACGGAGCCTGAGTCGGATGAGGAGTAGGCCTTAGGCTAGACTAAACTTAAAAATGTTGTGTAGGCTAGGATGCTAGTCTAATGTATTTGACTTGAAAGTTTTAGTTGAATTTTTTAGCT